CGATGGATTCTGTGATAGTACTGAATTTTAACAGTTTGGTGCCTACAAATTTGTATGTTGCTTTTGTGCATACACTGTCGAGATAAGTTCAATGCTGCTTATGAGCACCAAAAACAATTTTGCTTATGTGCTTTTTAATATAAAGTATTTTTTGAGACTAATAACCGATACATACATAATTTTGGGTTTATCTTAGTAATATACATATCGAGCGCTAACCTCCAAAAAGATGTAAGCGAAATTTTTTTCAAAATTTTCTTTTTGATGCGGAAATGTTCTTAGAGTATCTAGCTTAGAGGTTCTCAAACTTTTTTCCCCCGTAGACCCCTTTCGAAACCTTACTGGTTTCGGTGGACCCCCAGCTGCTACATGTCTAACATATTCCCAAAGCTCATCAAAAATTTAAAGACTAGATCTAACGATGTAAATTTGCATCGCGGGTGAGTTCCGAATCTAAATTCGAAGTGGCAAAAATAAAAAAAAATATTTTATCGTGTTCTCTTTATTACAGACTTGCAAGTTTTAAAATACAGAACTCGTAAAGCGATCAAAGTGCTCTCTAGCTCTGAGGAGTCATATTTTTTAAGGGAACTCCGAGCGCTAGCGTTATTTACATTCTCTTTAGCAAAACCTCCCTCCTCACATGTTTGTCTCACTCATGAATTTGCATGTGGCGTATTGGTAAAATAGTTCATTTGTGTTGATGACATCATTTTTATTTTTATCACTCCGAGTTTTAAAGTGATGAGAATGCCTGGTTTGAGCCAGTTCTGGCCAAATGGTTAAATGTCTCATTACCAACTCCCGAGTGACCTGGTACCCTGAGTAAAGCAAGTTCGTTATGTTTACCAACATAAAATAATAACATAAGTTGAGACTTGCATTGCCCAACTATTTAGGTAGGAAGTACTTAGATAGAGGGCTGGCCAATGCCTTAAGTGCAGCCTGGCTGCCACTTCAGATATGTAAACTCTTTCCCTTCTACCTATTTTACACCACGTATTGCATTCCCCAAGATACAAGTGAAGCTTACCCCCATTAGCTTCGAAAAAGACCCCACATCCCGACACAGAGTCAGTTGTGGAGCCATCAGCGACGACTCGACAATGTGTGACTCCGGGCACAGTGCTGGAATTAAACCGGCATTCAGCTCCAGGGAACTTAACATTATAGAACCTCTTCAACAAAGGTAATGGGTGCGTACTATCCTATAGCATTGAAAATACAAAAGTGCTCAAATCTCTGCCGCCAGCATTTTTCGCCGCGCCCCACTCAGTGTTATAAGCAGGGAACGGATTTTATGGAAATTGCCTTTTTTCTGCTAAAGAGATAGAGTATATTCGATTAAGAATGTCCACGACTTAGCTTTCCCTGATTCCATATATACATATTTGATTTTGCCCTTTCTACCTTTAAAAAAGTGATTAAAGCATTTACAATTTTTTTTGTTTTAAGATTAAAAAATATACACATGCCCATGCGGCTTATAGAAGCGCAGGGACCTCTTGCCAAATTGGTGTTGAAAAAATTCAAAGCCGTTTTCTCAGCTAACGTAGGCTTGGAGACAATAAGGGGTGTGGATAAAATTGTAAAGGGCGAGGAAAACGTCCTTATTCCTGATAATATGAACGTTTCAAACGTTCCATATTTACATTGGGCTCCACTTGTATCAACTTACTTCGAGCGCACATTTAGTACATTCAAGGCTCTTCTTCGCGAAAATCGAATGAAAATGCTGCCAAGAAAACTTCAAAATCCATCTTGTGGTTCAATGTTAGTACAACTATACAGATTAAAGTTTTATGATCGATTCAAAGATTCAAAGTACAAATTTTTCATATAATGAAACTATTTCAAAGTTTTTCTCTTTTTACTTGTAATATAAACATTTCTAAAAAAAATACATTTTTTGATTGTTCTTCGTATTTTCTGTCTTTTTTTTAGTGCCTTATTTTGCTTTTTTTGCAATACCTTTTTTTTTGCCTTTTCCTGCCTTTTTCGCTATTTTATTTTGCCTTTTTTTGCCTTTTTTACAGTACCTAGTGCCTTTTCCTGCCTTTTTCGCTATTTTATTTTGCCAGCCTATTTCGTTACTTTATTCTGCCTTTTTTATAGGTTTTTAGGTCCTAAAAATCCGTTCCCTGGTTATAAGAATATCCGTTTCTTTCTAGTCTGAGGGTGGCCTTTAAGGCTTCCCTACGTATGAAGACATAAAGTGACGGTAAGTGCAGCAGTGCGTCAAGAGCACTACACACCACTCAAAAAAATTAAAGTTAAATAAAGCGGATATGAAGCAACCATTTTGATTCTTTACTATCGATACATTTTCGTGGACCCCCAGTTACAACTCGTGGACCCCCATATTTTTTTTCACGCCAACGTAGACCCCCGTCGAGTCTCCCGTGGACCCCTGGGGGTCCACCTGGACCACTTTGGGAATCACTGATCTAGATGCATTCCTGCATCAAAAAAAGTTTGAAAGGAATATTTCATTTATCAATTTAATTGAATAAAATTTTTCAAACGTGTGGCAACCCTAATCAAACATATTTCCGGTAGTAAACTTTTGTAAGCCTCTTAGTCTTGATACCCACATTGCAATATTAAATTTATCTTATCAATTAAATTAAATTAAATTTTCCAAACCGGTGGCAACCTTCAACAGGAATATTTTCGGCTGTAATAATGGGCTGTTTTTGCTTACGCTTAAAAGCACATTTAGCGCATTTAAATTCGTCATCTAAATGCAACTCCATTTTTGCATTAAGAATCTAAATGCTAAAAGCAACCCTGTGATCTTTCAAAATTTCCACGATTCGAACATGGTTTAATGAGAAAAAGTGGCAACATTGCTTTTTCGCGACGTTGTATTTGTAACTGGTTTTGAGAGAAAAGTTTGCGAAAGCGGGTTCGTCAGCTGAGCGTTTGTTTACATCACAAGCACCACTATTTTACACTTTTATTCAAGTAAAGAAGAGTTAATTCAACATAACACATTTTAAAGCATTTTGTTGCATCATTTTACCTAAATTGTGCGTTTAAAGTGGCTGACAATAATTTTGGCTAATTTTGGTTTTCGTTGTTTTCTTTGCTTTGTTTACTTTTCGCTCGTTTTCCAGTGAAACAAGATGGCGTAGAACCCGCTAAAAAAAATCGACTTTTTTCACTCTCTTGTTCTTACGTGATCTTGTCGAGATTTCATTTATTATTTTACATTATTTGGATAAACAAAAGTTACTCAAATTCAACATCGATGGCCCCTATTATGAGTTGCATTCGATCTTCGCTGGCTATCGAAGATCGAAAGTGAAATTCGTATTATGAGCTATGCAAGCGTGTCGAAATTTTCGTTGAGTATCGAATTTTCTGTCGAACAGAATTTTGCTTTCGTTGGTGTAGCGAAGTGCTAGAAAATTTTAAAGATGTATGATTTTGCATTTGTTTTCTTACTTTTTGGCGGCTAGACACTAATTATACCCAATATGTATTAATTTCAAGCAGTTCTAACGTCGTGAATAGTAAACACAAGCTCGAAAGTCTGATTTTACATATGAAATACGCTGTTGGCACGATCTCTGAAAACAAAATCATGGATCACAAAATTTCTTAAATATATTGTATGTCAAAATATATTCGAAAGACTGCACTTAAACTCTCACGTTTTCTGCTCCTGGACAGTTTTCTAAGCCCTCATCCTCTGACGAATCGTTCAACCAGACCTCCGTTGTGCTAATTAAAATTTATTTTTACCATGCTTTTATAAACTCGCTTTCTTTTTTATTTCATTTTAATTTGCACAAATTTACATATGTACATATGTATAAGCACATTATTTAGTTTGCTCGATCTGTAAACAAAGCTTCTCAGCGGTGAAAAATATACTATTGTGAACAACCTAAACGAGCGAAATTCACAATAGCGCTATTCTTCATCAAATGAGCGCCATAATACCAAATGAAAATTCGTTCGATCAGCACTTTCGACCACAGTCGAAGATCGAATGCAACTCATAATAGGGGCCGATGTGATGCTGATAGAAATCTGGATCAATTTGTGATCAACTCTGTTCATTTTGTTTCCTAATTAAGTGAGGAAAATTTAATTGACAACACCGACAAATGAATATATACACAAACAAATTTTCGGTTATTGTTAAAACAATTCAAGATTTTGTATTGAATTTTTGGTTTAAATTTTTTTTCCTTTTCAGTAAGGTTTTTTGCACATTATCTTTTTCGTGAGAATTGATCGTAATAGATACGGATCTGAATAAGCGACTGGAACACGGCTGTTTGTCAAAAGCATACGATTTCGAACTCGCGTAAATGTACATTTGCTAAATGCGATAGCATGAACGCTCTTCGAAAACATATGTTCGAAAGCGCTAAATGTTGCGTTTTAAATGCAGCAAAAACGCTGCATAAGTATGACCTCTAGAAATACATCGATGAAAACTGCATTCAATTCCATGCATTGTTTTTCGAATGATGCGCGTACAAACATGCAGACAGACAAAAATTCTAAAAATTGTTGATTTGACTTGTTGGTCTAATAATCTTCCTTTAATATCTTAAGTATAATGTACAGACATCAGCTTGTTATAGTTTTATTATCAGGCCGATTCTGAACAGAAACTCCCCGGGAGTTTTCTCTCTTTTCCCTTTCCTCCTATCATGAATAAAAATTTCTTGAGGATTTTTTATACTAAAGGGCGGAGTTGAGCTCTCAAAAAAGTGTCAAAAAGCTTTTTCGAAGTTCGAATTTAATCCTCCCAAGTTTTCGGAGAAAATGCTACTCCTGGGAGTTAATTACTAGGGGATTTCTCTCTCGGGAGAAACAAACTCCCCGGGAGTATTATTAATTGGCCCGTATATGTATAGAAGATATGTATGTAGGTACATGTAAATTTTTGTTTAACGGGCAGATAAATTTTAAAACATACGTGAGATAACAGCACTAAATATGTTAAATGATTCTTTAAATAAAAAAAAATTACATATATATTTTGATTGTTCGCAAAAAAAATATATATTTAAAAAAATCAACGCCAGTTTTTATAAATGGCAATTGAAAAAAATCACAAAAGACCGGCGTACAGTGGTCGGAGAAGGCATGTTTTACGCTAATAATTACTGCAGGTTCTAGTATTGTTTTAATGCTACATCCGAAATGCCATAAAATTTGTAGTTTGACAGTTGACAGCTGTCAAATCATCTGGCAAATTCTGTAGAATTAAGAAAATTATTTTGAAAATACCACTGATTACGTTTTTTGACATGCTGATCACGAATTTTATGTCAAATTAAAACCTTGAGAGTTAACTGTCGAATGGACTGTGAATTTTGCTAAAAATAGGTTGTATTATTTTCAAAAATGCCACTGATTAATTTTTTTGACATGCTGATGACGAATTATATGTCCAATTAAAACTATGAGAATTGACAGTTGTCAAATAATCTTTTGATTTTTTCTAAAAAAAATAACGGGGCCCAAAAAAAAATTGGTTCGGCCGTTGTCGGACTTTGCGAACGCTAAAAAACCGCTTTAAAAATATATATTAGTATAGATTGGTATGAATCGATATGGTTTTGAATATGTATCACAATATGAGTGTCAGACGAAAGGGGTTGTAAAAGGTTGCCAACTATTTAAAAGGTTAAATTCAAACTATTCAATAATCTAAATGACTTATATCAAAATGAGTATCAGTCGAAATGGGTTTGAAAGGGCTTCATTTCAAAACTACATGTAAGGGGTTTTCATCTGTCTAAAATCTTAAATTGAGTTCAGGGGATAAGTTAATTGAAAAAGTATGACAAGTGAGAAGTTTAAGAAAGTTTAATTTTGAAAATATTTCGAAGATGGTTAAAAAAATTTTTAACCTCCTGTTTTTGAATTGAGTTTTCTTGAAATAAATTTTACTCAATTTAGCAAGTAAAAATCTCATACACTCAGCGAAGCGGGACCGACCCGATAGAGGCTGCACGCTTCCTAGGGCTGCCGTTAGTGGAACTTGACAACAACGACTGAGATATCAACCGATTTGGGGGGGTTGTTGTAGCCGCTACAACAACAACAACAACAGGGCAATCTAGTAGTTACATATATCCGTTAGGGCAAAATACGTTCAACCACTAAATTATAGTCCCTTGACGTCACAATCTTCTAACCACTTACATATTTCTAACAAAAGGGAGCGTTGGGAATTTAAAAAACTTCAACCCCGAATCAAACAAATGCATAGAATTTTGGCAGGCTTTAAACGCGCGACAAATTTTTTTATTTTTATTGTTAAAAAAATGCCCCGTAGCGAATGTTATGCGTTAGTCACTTAAGTGTCTTGTACGGAAAAGTTACGTCTTAAATGACTTTCGGCATTTATATAGAAGTCGTTCATGACTTTTTCATATAAATGGTAATTTCCTCGTTGATGTCATCTGCATGACTTTGTCAGGCAGTGATCATTGATGACATTCAAGCGACAGTATCTTGCAATCAACTTTTTATAAGTGACCGCTGCAAGATATTGTCTGTTATAAGTCTTTGAGTAAGGGAGTAAGTACACCTGCATGACATTGCCACCAGTATCATTGTCAGCAATATGTCGTTTAGGATTCACAGGAAGTGCGACGATGTCACTAAATGCTCATTAGTTTGTTTGTGTGTACATACACATATGCACATATGTAATTCTTAAAAAGGCAGTAAAAAAATTATTTATTTATTGTAGCTGGTAACTTGATTTCGATGAAAATGTCATAATGCCAGCAATAGTCAAATGGCTAACAATGCGACCAAAATCATTGAGTGAAACTACCTTCTTTTTTGTATCATGCATACGTCTAATTTGGGAAAATACCTGCAGATAAATTATTATGTAACCACAGCTTCATATGCCCACTTGAACCAAAGAACGTATCTACGTTCTTTGCTTGAACTTAATACACTTCTCATCGCCTGGTCCGACACCGTCCAGATATTTTGATAGACTCACTGATCTGTGCAGCGTTAAGAAATCATCTGCGTTACAACAACAACAAGAAAAGTCTACAAAATGGTATGTATTTAAAAAGTTCCTAAAAACTAACCCTTGTCCAAATGCTAAGGGATGCCAAACCCTTTTCAGAGTATTGTTTAGATAAAGATTTCTAATAGGATGTTCTTTTATATAATTTTTTCCCAATTAAAACTTACCCTCGGTAGTTTGCCCCTTTTGAGGAAAAGTGATGGACCTTCCCGGCCTGAGTTTCGTGGAAAAATTTCCTTGATGTCTATCGTATCGTCAGCTAAATAATAACATACTTCTAATTTTCGTACGTCACCAAACTCCGAACGATCATCCCAGTAACCAAGGAATTTAAGTACTTGTCGATCAAAAGCCAAGAACTGTGCGAGTGAATGTTTTTTTGGTGGTTGATTATGCGCCTTCTTCCCCGATCTTTTTCGCATTTCAGTCGTGGGATCACTGAAATTGAAATAAGCTTTGCAACTTTTTAAGAATCTCGAAGCATAAGACTTACACTGGCATATCGACAGGATCGGGCACGGCTATACCCGAACGATTCAAGAAGTGGCGAGTGAAAATATCACAATTTGTTATATAATAAGTGCGATCAAATATTTGTATGCTTGTGTCAACATTCAAATCCAATATTGAGATAAATTCATTTTGACATGGCGGCGGTTTCGGTATACGTTGACGGTGAACCAGGCAACCTTGCGGAATGCCAGAGTTATCGACTTTCGGTTCAATGATTTGCATGGTACCATCTTCGAGGTAGTACATAATTTTCACTTTACGTACTTGATATGGAGCATTGTACACCTCATGTAGAGTTTCCTTGAAGAAAGCGTCGAAACCGAGTACTTTTTTGTCGTAGGCAATCCATGGCGGTAGTTTAGGGCCAGTCTTTGGAGGATAAAGTGAAGGTGTGGTCGTGGGTGGACAATTAATATCAATGCACATTCCCCCGGAATCCACCATGGCTGGCGGCTTGCGATCGTTCAGCATGCTGATGCCTTGAAAATTCATCAAGCTCTGGGGTTTCGGGAAATTCGTACGAGACATCTGGCAGGATAAAATACAAACATAGTAGCGAGTACAAACATACAAGTAAACTCCTATGTACTCATAGTATTGCACAAACATTGATATTAATGAGCTACTAGCACTTACATCCCGGAAAGTAGTGCCTGGTAGAAATGGCATTCCTGGTATGCGCAACATGTTTTGTTGGTTGAGTTGTTTGAGTTTCAAAAATCGCGAAATTGATATAAAGTATGTCTTTGTAAAAAATCAATATAAAAATATATGCGGTCGTTTTAAATTTCTTGCTATACAAAATTTCGTATAGATTTGTAAAATCTGCAAGCAAAAATATGAATGTCATTTTAGTAAATATTTTCTGAAAAATTTAAATTATTATTTTTATGCTTTTAATGCTACCTATGTCAGATGCTTTTTTTTGCCTTTTGGTTGCCTACTTTTTCGTGTGTACTGGGGTTTTGGGGCGGCAATATGTACATAAAAAAAAATACTATAATAAATATGGACTAAACAATCGGGCTGGCGCTATAGCAATGGGACGACACATGTGAGATGGCCCATTGCTGGTTGCTATGAGCATGTCAGTTCGAGTTCATGTTTGTGAAGAAAAATTCGAAATAAAGACTGCATGATTCAATAATACAAGGTTCGATAAACTGACATGTATCTATAATTTTTGGGAAAACTAATATTACCACTTATAACAGCTGTTTAAGCGTCACACTATTTGAAAATAGAACAAAGACTTAATGAGGGTTCTCACCAGTGTTGCCAGGTTTTCGGTATGAGAAATCGTCCCTATTGGTCTGAAAAAACGTCATTTCCTACCCAAAAACGTCTTTTCCATGTATGCACACAGAATTGTTCTTATTAAACTTTTATTATATACGTAAGGTATATTAAAATGTCACTTCGACAGAGCACATTTAAAATTCATTAGTGGTATTCACAAAAGTGAGCAAGTGGCCTGGCACTCTGGCAAAACAGCAGATGAGCTCAAGCAACGACTGTTGACAACAATTTGGTGAATACCACTATTGTAAACTAGTTTGAGATCGTTAATATAAAAATCCTTTTATACATACACTTGTGTCCAGCTGATTAAGTCATCAACATTTTGATCCATTTTGGCTGTTTTTCTTTTGTATATTAATTGTTTATTATTTTTTCATAAAAGCCTAGCTCATTATATAACTAACACAATATAAATCTACATTTCAAACTTTTTGCAAAAATTATAAAAAATCTGCAAACCTTCAGCTAGATTTGCAAGTTTTTATTCAGCTTTTTTAGAATTTTTTTGAGTATGCACTTTGATAGCCCATTAAATTCCACGGTAATAATGTGCAAGTTTTAAGTTGGTATTGTTGTAGGCTGGTCGATCTACTTCTCCATGTGCAAGAAAAATACTTTTTTCTCCACTTCTTTGCCCAACGTTTCGCTAACTACCTTAGCATCATCAGGGGCGATTCTTTATTATAAATATCAACAAAAAACAGAGGAAAACAAGATTATTTAAATAGAAATTATGAGTTTTTTGTACAAATAAAAATTAAAGATTGGTAAACAAAAATAACACAATCACACGTGCAAGTTTTAAGTTGATAAAGAATCGCTTTGATTTTTAATATTATTATTTTTTATCTTGTAGACCTTTGGTTAGGTGGTCGGTTGTCGAAAATGCTAAATTACGTTCTGCTACGAAGGAACATAGTGATTTTGCGAGCGAGCATGTTGCAATAGATCAGCTCTTCCTGATTTGGCTTTTAATATGCAATTGCAAACATTGTAATAAGCCTTGTAACCTCAGGTGTTGACACGGTGTTTGAACGCGGGATCCTCAGTCCAAGAATAATAAAAAAAATGCGCGTACGCTTGGTTTGCATCATATTTAAGTCATATGTGCCCAAAGAATGAATATCTTTTGAGGCACCTGCTGAAAAAAACAAAGCTTGTAAAGATTTATTAAGAAAATAATTCAAAATCAGTTCTACTTACAAGATTTAGTAACAAATTTGCCGACAGTGTGAGCGTAAGTACTTACTGTACAAGCAAATAGTACGCTATTCATTGAATATATTGTGCATTAAGAAAAGTTACTGGGAAGTTCAAAAACGTAATTTTTTTTACACAAAAAACGTCAACAGGATACAAACAACGTGCAAATGACGTTAAAAACATCAACCTGGCAACACTGCACCTGCTGCAAAAAACAAAGCCTGTAAAGATTTATTAAGAAAATAATTCAAAATCAGTTCTACTTACAAGATTTATTAACAAATTTGCAAGCAAACGTAATTTTTACACAAAAAACGTCCAAACATCAACAGGATACAAAAAACGTCCAAATAACGTTAAAAACGGCAACCTGGCAACGCTGGTTCTCACTACTGTTAGTGGAACCAGAAATATTAAGTAAAAAATGCGTTTATTGTATCCTAGGGGAAGAAATTAAGAATTTTTTCTTACACTCTCTAAAATACAGAAACGGGACGAGATGTCTCTCTCGCACCTCTCCCTTAGCAGTGGCATCGTGTTGCTTCTTTGCAAATTTACTTGGAAAAAGTGTAGCTTTGGTGTGAAATAGAAGTATAAGCCTTTGTGCAATATGTTTATTTGTATATGCATATGAAGCTCATTTAACTGATGAAAACATAAATCGTTTTTAAATTGGACGCTTACATACATCTCATAGTAGTTTTATTTTAATTTTGAGTCCTTTTGCAGTTTTTATTCAGCTAAATAGCACATAAATTACGTAATGCACGTAAATATATAAATATTTCGTTTAAAACGCCAGATCTCCTGCAAATACATTAGAATTTACAAAAGGAATTTCAGTACTAATTGCCTACTTTGCGTACTTTTCTACTACCATTTTCGCACCAAGGGATTTAATTCTTCCCATTTCTCCGTCCTTCGTGAATGCAACCTGATGAGTGGGTTTCAGTTTTGTATGCGTGAACTACGCATGATTGGGTTAGTGCATGTGGCACTACAGTGTTGCCAAACATGAGCTTTTCCTACCAAAATTGGTAGGTTTTTTTCCATTTGGTAGGTTGGTAGGCTTGATTGGATTTTGGTAGGTTTCGTGACTACGAGTAATAGTTATTTGAGAAAAATAGAAAATATGTATCTCTAAACATTTTAGCAATTTTTTTTACATGAATATTTCACCGGTGCGTTCGTATAACGGCGGCCGCAAACATGATTCCTCAGTACAAACGTATACCCTTATTATTGCCAATATACAATATGAAAATCCATATATACTTCATGGGGTACTTGGACCAAGATCCCAGGAAAGTCTGCCAATGGGCTTGTACCCAACCATATTCTGGGCGGAGATCTTCGCAATCGAAGTCTGTGTTCGCGAATTTTATCGTAGGAAGAAAATGAGGCCAGAATAAATATTATGTCAGATATTCAGGCTTCTTAGAGTCTTTTAAAACGGCATCAAGGCTTTTGAACTCTTGAACCACCTGGGAGTCCACAATAGCGTACCGCTGTGGAGGGTTCAAGGACATGAAGGGTTTGAAGGCAACGAAAGGGCTGACTGTCTTGCAAAGAGTGGAGCCCAAATGCGTTTGCATAGTTCCGAGCCTTTTTGCGGTACATCTAAAGGATACACTGCAGACTTACTTAGGAGCTAGCTGGGAATTGCTGCACACTGGCAGAAGTCGAATCAAAGGGATTCATAACTTTTCAGGAGGAAATACGAAAGATACCTTGAACTTAAAACTCTTACTGGCTACCTGACAGCACACTGCAAGTTAACGTACCGATTGAATTAAGGTTTGTGTGTTTGAATGTAGGTTTTGTGGGCCGGTGAAGGAAACCCCAGAGTATATTCTATGTGCCTGTCGACGAAGCATGAATAGTAGATTGATGCACCTTGGGGAAGGATTGTCTTCTCCATCTAAAATTTGAAACATGGCATCATCCAAAGTGCTGAGCTTTTTAAATAGCCTAATATTGGAGCGATTACAATTAGGATTTAGCACAATATATCTTCTTAGGTCGCAACGCGGGTATCTCCGAAGTAATAATAATAATATAGTTACTTGACACCAATAAAGACGCTCGGGTGTTTTGACGGCGAAAAAGGATGCGTGAAAAAAATTTGCGAAAAAAGACGCGTAAACATGGATTCAACATCATTCCGGAAAAACTCTTTGGGGAATTCGTATACTCGCGAAAATAAGTCTTCTTCGTCTTTCTTCCCCGTCAAAGAGGTTAACGCGTCTTTCTTTGCCCTCGCCTATGTTAAGAGTTCTTCTTCGCCGTAATTTTTTTACGCATCTTTTTTCGCTGTCAATTTTCGACTCGCGTCTTTTTAGTCGTATCTAATGACGATATATATGTATGTACAGTAAAATGAATCGTTATACGCAGCTAATTTGTTTTTATTGTACTAGCTGTGTTTTAGTTTTACTAAATGTTATGTTAGCTATGTTTTTAATAAGTTTTACAATGAAAAAATATATTAAAACAAAAAAAATGTTTGGTAGGTTTTGGTTGGTTATGTTAGGAAATTTTGGTAGGAGAAAAAATGTGTCTGTGGCAACTCTGCATACAAACAAAACGAAATAGAAAGCATGTTGTCTATGTGTGCGTGTCAGTCCACCGTCAATCCGCGATTTTCGCGGACTGAAATGAGCGAGGTAAACTCGAACTCTCTTCCCCCTCTTATCCACACAAAACCGGTTTTAGGCGGACTGAGCAGTCCAGTGTGCGGAGGCCCAATGATTTGTGTATTAAGTCGAACACACCCACACACACACGCGGCTATCTAGAATGCAGGGAACTTGTCGTGAAGGGGAGAGAGGAAGGTAAATAGAGATAGTTGGCAGTAGGGATGAAACGATACCATAGAAGTATCAATACCTGTACTTGGAAGTAGCATCGAAAGAAAGTATCGATACCTACAAAGTATCGGGCTAAAAGTATCGATACCTACTTATATCGCTATTTGTGCCTATATAAGAATTGAAATATGTTTATGTTTGTATTAAAAAACGCTATCACATATGTGCCAAATTAACTTATGTGACTATCATTATTGATTTTAGGTTAATCTTTTAGATTTTTTTAAGAAAAACTTCCAAGTTTTAAAACAAGTTTTACTAGGATGGACCCTCAAAAAACAAGAAAAAGTATAAAGTCCAATAAATTGTTTT